TGGATTTGTTGCCTGCTCGTCCCCCCGTGCAGCAGCGGCCTGTTTTCCTCCCCCTGTTGTGTGTTTTTATTATTTTCCCTCTGGCTTAGATGTGTCAATCATTCTCTCCCTGCCATTGGTTGGAGAGTTTGCGTCAAAAAGTTGCCAGAGAGGCGCTTTCTCAGCAAATCTCCCTGAGAGCGGAACCGACCTCAGCTCCAACTCAGCCTCCACTGTTATTAAAAATAAAAATCGCTACAGCAGCCCTCACTCACCACGTCTACTTTGTATGTATCTTAGAGGGGCGCACGCGTTTCTAACTCAGGCACTTTCTTCATATTCTGTTCTCTCTGGAAAAAAAAAATATATATAATATATTTTGGTTGTGTTCGACTTTTATGGAAGGGTGAAAACTGCAAGATTTCTAACTGAATACTCTTGATTTCTTTTAGGATAGCTGGATATTTGGGATTTTGAAGGATAATTTGATTTCCCCCCCCCCCCCTAACCTCCAATGCGGCTGTAAGGTAAGCGTCCGTTTGTCTTGACTGTCTATATCCATATCGATGTATCCCTCTGTCTGTCATCACCCCCCCACCTCCAATAGACCGACCCATGCACCACTGCGAACGTGGAGTTCTTCTGAAGCCCGATGTATTTTTTTCTCTTTTATTTGAAGTGTAATAACGATCATTGAGAAAAATTGACGATCTGGAGAGAGGGCGGGAGTGGGAGGGCGGGAGGGAGTGTGCTCCCGGGGGTCGCCACTACTGCAAATCGTCGAAATCCTGCGAATCTAATCTGGGGCGTTTGGGAGGGGGGTTGTTTGTGGGGTTTTAATGTCCACGCCATTCTGGGATTTTGCCTTCGATCTTTTGGCCCCCACGTTTGGTTGGGGTCGTTTGGATTGATCCCAAGGACGTTTTTAGAGCCCGAGACAAAAAGATGCAGATGTAGCTAGGTGGGTGGGTTAAAAAAAAAATAATAATAGGGTAGAGGCTTCCTTGGGCCCTTGGGCCTGAAGACCAACTCTTTTGCGGGTCGGCTGGGACCGGCAGCCGCCTCTCAAACCCCCAGATTACCCCTAAAGAACGTGAACCGAAACCCGAGCGGTTAACCCAGGAGGCGGGGAGCGCCCGCGTCTCGTCCACCCCAGAGCTCGCCGCTCTTTTTTGCTCGCCTCTTCCAAAGCCAAGAACAGCTCTGTTCTCATCGTCTTCCAAAGGCTTCCCTTTCTCGTATTTTTTTTAATCACCCCCCCACCTCAATCCCTGGGAGTGCAGCTCCCCTCCCCCTACCACACACGGTAGTCGTGATCCTAGACCTGGGTCACCAGGCCGAGGCAGCGAGGAAGTGTGGTTTTCCAACGTGACTTTGCCGAGGATGGTTTGGTGTGCGCTCCGCGCAGCCCTCCGCGCGCACCTGGGGAGTGCAGAAATGGTGGCTAGGGGCCCCTGCTCCGCCGGAGGCCGCAGCCGGGCTGGGGACGGGAATCCTTCCGCTGGGGATCTCGGTCCCTCTGCTGTACTCCGACTGCGGCAGCGGTGGGGCCCGCCGGCGCGCTCTTGCACTCTCTTCTCAGGCTCGCGGACATTGAAGTGTTGTGGGGCCGGGCCGGGCGGGGATCCAGGGGTTCGCAGAGGCACAGCCTCTGCTCTGTCTGTCCAGCGAGAATCAACAGAGGGTCTCTGCCAACACTGGGCCTGAGCGACGTGTCGCGCCGCAAACTCAGAAGTCGTCGTGTTGATGCATTCAAGTGACTATTGAAAGCATATGTTCGATTTCAGGGCACTTTTTTTTTTTAATTTGAAACCCAAGTGCCCCATCAGAATTACCCCTTAACAGACAGTAGTGGTGTGCGGAGAAGGCCGAGCTTCGTCTACCCGGCAGTGGAAGATTACTTGGAGGGAGGGAGGGGAAGCCGCGCCTTGTAATATGGCCCTCCATCAGCCAGCATTTCTCCTGCTCACCTCGCGACTTTTTCTAGCCACCGAAAGTTATTAGCACCAGAGGAGTTGAGAGGAAACTCCTCCCCCAAAGTAAGGTAGACACCCAGGCTTCTTCCAGAGCTAACACCCGCGCCTTCTCCTAACGATAATAGTCAAGGCCAACCCTTTTGGCACGTTTCTTCCTCCCTCCCTCGCGGGTGGCAGAGTTGTTTGATTCCCTGAGGCCAGAAACTTTCACTCGAGTTTGCGGGGGAGAGGCCAGCGCCTGCTGTTTTCTGCGGTGCCCGTACATCTCCTTTTTCTTTCTTTTCCTCCTCCTCTTCGTCGTCTGCCCCAGCCGCAGGCCAGTCACCAGTCCGCGTAGTTTTGTTTCCTTTCCATCATGCAGAAAATTAATCAGCCAGGACGAGAAGCAGAGCTGAGCACGGCGGCCTGTAATTAAGGGACGTGTGCCCCTCGGATTATCTCGTTAGTTTATCAAGAAAACATTTATTATAATTAATTCTCGGACGAGGTAATTATTATTGAGCGAGGACACAGCAACTGGTAGATGGGCTTCTTGGAAGAAAAAAAAAACAAGGTGGGGGGAGGGGGAAGCGACAGATTGCACGAATTGACCGTTAGATATAAGGCTGCGCTGGCCGACGCGGGCAGTGGAGCGGGACCTCGGGCGCCCGGGCTGCGGGGCTGCGGGGCTGCCGGACAGGGACGCCGGACAGAACCACTTGCGCCCGGGGGTGCGGGCGCCGACCGGCTGCTGGGACTCACCGCGCTACCGCCGTTTCTTCCTAGGCATGAGTTCTCCTGAGGCCACCTCGCCTCGTGAGCCGTCATACTGAAAGGGTATTTCTTTTTCCTCTTCTCCACTGCTTTGAGAGGAAGGGGGACAGGCGTCCGTAGAGGGATTCGAAAGTTAGATAGAAGGGCCCACGGCCACTTCTTGGGGTAGGGAATACCTCTGTTGATAGTTGAGAGTACCCCCCGTGGTTTTGTTTTTTGTTTTCCTCTTTCTTTTTTAAAGGTGGATCCAGTAGTCAAAGTGAAAATAGTCTATCCTGAGAATTTTATCCATTTGGTGATGGCAAGGGCAAAGGAACTCCAAGAAGGCTCTCGGTCCTGTTGCTTTCTATTACTGCTTTTTATGTTGGAATGTGTTACTTTATTGTATGATGTGTCAGGCATTTCTAATTGGATGAGAGCTAGACATGTAAGAACACTTCCATATACTTTATGACTAGCTTTCTCTATAGCAGTTCAGAACTTTCCAAGGTAGTAATGTATTCAACAAAAAAAGGACTCCAGCTTAGGGGCTATTGAAACAAATAAATGATCGTATTTTAAAGCCATGTTACTTTCATAGCCTCTAAATAAACTGCATACTGAAAAGAGAAGAATTCAAAACAAATTCTTTGTAGGAGCAACTGCATTAGTTTTACTGATTAATAATAACAACTCCTCCAAGAAGGACATTTATAAAATTACATTAAATTATATCTTAGGGTGAAAAAGCTTGACTTATGCTCTGAATTGAAATCATGAAGAAGTCCCAGTAACTGAGTTCCATTAGTGGAACTTTGTGCCTCCATGTCTTAAGTAATGTAAATATGAAAACCTACAGCCCTTAAAACTCATTAAGACCTTGGTAAAAGTAAGAGAGAACTGCTAATCTTCTATCCGCCATTTTGAGGAAATGTCCCATAGTGTCAAAGTTTCAAAGGAGAGATCCTTGCAGGATGAGTGCCACATTTTAGGAAAATAAAAGCAGACCTGCAAACTGCTACCTAATGTATACATCTATTTTGAATCTCTGTACTGGGAGGAGGCAGGAAGAATTCAAGTAGAGAAAGTAAATAACTTTTTTTTTTCTTCCTTTCTCCTGCCACCTCCCAGCTCATTTTCTTAAGGTGGGGAGAAATTGCATTAGTTTCACAACTTTGGGTGTTTATGTATCTGTTTTCTTCAAAACTAAAATGTGCAAAAAGGCAGTACGAGTTAACAGGAAACTTTGCTGTTGAGCACCCAACTGCAGGAAAATTTGCCTCCTCTTGCAGCATCTGCAGCTTCCACACATCAAATTCAACATGGAAGCGGCTTGCACTACAAATGTGCACCCTTTCTACTTGCAAATGTTGGGGCCTGTCATTATCTGATTGGTGAGATTCTAACTTTACTTCAGAATTTCCGGCAAGCCCTATGCCAATCTTGAAGACTTTTTTGCAGCATGTTTAAATATTTGATGGATGTCGCTTAAAAGTTAAATACTTGTTTGTTTAGCTTTAGTTGTTTTAGACACATATAATCAAGGTTCTCCAAAACCCTAATAAATCTGTTACTTACCTCGAAATCTAATTATCCAGACTACTAATTAGGTGAAAATGATTACTGGAAATGACTTTAAATGTGGAATAATAATGGTTGGGCAGTTTTCTCAAGTTTGTTGTTTAGCAAGTTGGTATTTTAGATGTTAAATGCACTGACATTTTAGATTCGCAGCAGTTGAAAGTGGTAAAAAGCGAAGATAATTAAAATCTCTGTCATGGAAAGGCAACAGTCTGGGGAGAGGTAGATTTCTTGAATTGTTTCTTTGTTTCTCACCAATGGGCTTTGTTATCAGCATTATTTATTTAGCCAAAGAGTTCTTTGTCTCTGCAAATGGCCCCAATCAAGTTTTGTTTGAGACAATTAGCTAGTGCCAGCCAATGAGTTCTATGCAAATGTTGGGATAGGAATGCAATGTGTGTATTTGAAGGCGTGGGTTTTTGTTCTTGGGGAAGGCAGATTGTAATTGCTTTCTTAGGGTCTTTTTTTTTTTTTAAGTTTAGGGTGGGGGTGGGGAGGACAGGTTTATCTGGTCTCCCTCAATCCCCCTCTAGTTCCAGAGCAGCTGGGGGTGGGGGTGGGGGGGTTGTCTGCAAGTCCTTTAAAAGCCTGTGCCTTGCGGAGCCCGGGCTCTTTTTAGTTAGTGGTGGAACGTGAGAGAGCTGCTGCCTCCGAAGCAGTAAACCAGCACCTCTGTTTGTTTGTTTTGCCCTTAGTTCCGCCACTGCAAACCCACCCACCAAGGACCCTGAACCTGTCCACCCCAGGCGAACCGAGCTCTTCCGGCTGGGTCTCCCCCATTTGGGCCGACTTTGCGCCTCCAAACAACCTTAGCATGATGTCTTATCTTAAGCAACCACCTTACGCAGTCAATGGGCTGAGTCTGACCACTTCGGGTATGGACTTGCTGCACCCCTCCGTGGGCTACCCCGGTAAGTGAGTTCTCCCGCACTCCTGCCCCGCCCTTCCCCACGCCGGCTCCGCGGGGTTGTGACACCCTTTTTTCCCCATACCTGGGTTTGGAGGTCATGCCGACCCCACCCCAGCTCCTGGTGAGGTCCCTGCTGGGTTTTCCTTGCAAGGAAGCATTGAAGACTCACCAGGCATTTACTGACCTAGAAGAGAGAACAGGAGCTGGGAAGAAGCGAGTAGGTGGGTCTGCAACAGTTGCAGAAAATCATGCCACTTGATTCGTAATTCGAGTGACTAGTGGACACGCATTGGGGTAGAGTGAGAAAGGTTACTGCCCTTGTCACTTGAGGGCGAGGCCCTTGCTTATAACTCCACTCCTAGTTCCTCCGAAGGGCCCTCTTGGAGAAGCGGAGTTTTCCCTAGTGCGTCCTTTGCAGCTCTCCCCGCCTCGCCCGGACTTCTCCCCTGACCCCCAGTTCCTTCTCCTTTAATCCGGGGAAGTTGTGACTCCCGCAGATGCGGGTGCTTTCCTTTCCGATCAGATCTGTGGTTTTTTTTTAAGCCTCATAAAAGTATGAACTATGTTCCCATTTCAAAGATGGAAGAATAAAGGCTCTCGGAGTGCTAAAAGCCAAGGGAGCTGGATCCAGATTCGCCCGATCAATCCGAGCTTCCTGTCCTCCGAGATAACTTTGATTTAACCGAGTGGCTTTTTCGTTTGTGTTGTGGTTTGAGGTGGATTTGGGAGGATTTGGGCTTTTTTTCTCCCGCTTGTTTTGTTAGCTTTCGAAGTAATGCTCTGGCTGGGTGATCTCCGAACTCATTCAGAATTGGGTGCAACTCTGAAAAGGGCAGTATGTCCTGAGTCTCCGGAGCCGAGGCCCCTGGAGGGGAGAGTGTTGGGAGGGGGATGGGAGAAGAGGGGGGAAGGTGGGATAGTCGGAGGACCCGCGGAAACCCCTATGACTGAGAAACTGCTCCCCCACCCTAAAGGGCCCTGGGCTTCTTGTCCCGCAGCCACCCCTCGGAAACAGCGGCGGGAGAGGACGACGTTCACCCGAGCTCAGCTAGACGTACTGGAAGCGCTGTTTGCCAAGACCCGGTACCCAGACATCTTCATGCGGGAAGAAGTGGCGCTGAAAATCAACTTGCCTGAATCCAGGGTGCAGGTAGGGCAGATCTGAGCAATTTTTCCTGACGGTGCCACCCCTCTCCCAATCGGGATGTATGTTGAAGACCTCAGAGAGCCCTAGATCTTTGCTAGGACCAAAGGAAGGCTTGAGACTCTATGGGGACCAATGAACTAATCTCCTTTCTCCCCTTTTTTGCCTCTCCGTTCTCATTTAGTCCTATCATCAAGAGTCTCTCAGTCCAGGTTGCAAGATGAGAGTGTCAATTAAGCTACTGTCATGAGTCCTTGGGGCTCTGGTGGGCAGAGATTCAGGTAGTGGCAAGGTTTTAGCTCTTCCCTTCCCCTATGTGGAAATCCTCCCCTATATTCCTGGACTTTGAGGGGTGAAAGAATCGTAGCTCCTCTGCGGTATAAATATTTTTATAGATAAAGAAACAGAACAAATGACTTGCTCAAGGTCATACCTAAATTTGGTGACAGAGCCAGGCAAGAGAAACAGTTGGTGCTTTTACTAAATAAGTTCATACAATAAAAATGTATTTTCTTTGACTTCTTCGGGATCAAATCAAATTTTCTAGTTCTAGGTTATTTAGCAGATAAAATGCCTTTACAATATCTCTAGTAACACACCTCTCCCTTGGTTTAGTCCTCCTTAACAGGGAATACCAACTCTGACTTGCCTGGAAATCAAGCCCCATACAGAGTTCTCTGGAAAAAGTGTTTAGCATCTAAACCACACTCACACCTGGGTCTCTCCTTCAGCTAGGACAAGTTTGTGACACTGCCAGCCATCAGCATGAACTGCAAAGCAGAAAATGCCTTTTCAAAGTGGGTTGGAAGAAGTTTTAGCACTTGGGAGGATTGAATCAAAGTCCTCACTGGAAGAAAAGAAATGGCTCTGAATGGTTGGTGGCATTGAGAGTGGCCTTAGGGGCACCACTTTGCTACAGTTATAATATCAAAAGGAGAGCTCATTCAAGAGGACAATTAAGGACTTGTACCCCAGAAAATGCCAGTAGTTCTCTGATAAGCCCCCTCACACACCAGACACTGTTCCTTCATTACAGAGTGTGAACAGGGCTGGTAAAGAGAATTTTCAAAATTGTAGGCAGAGGTTTAAGTTGACAGGCCAGTGAACATAGTACAGGAAATGGCATCTATGGGCTGAGTGGCACTACTCTGAAGGCACAGATTTGAGCCTTGAAGATTATAGAGGGGTCTCTCCTTGAGCTCAAAGAAGAGAACATCCAAGTCACTCCATTCATAAAGAACCTTTCAGCAAATAGTGGCTTTTAAGACAGCTTTTCTCAACAGGATCATGTCTTCTGAGCTTTCTTTTGTAAGCAAGTCTTTCTAGGAGAAACAGAATATAAGGTGATGGAACCAATCTCCATATTATCTGTGGATCCCTGGAAGAGGGAATATAGACTGTCTGAATTTAAGCTGCTGTTGTTGGCATATAACAACATTGTTCACCCTCTCTTTTCTTGTGTCTCCCTCCAAAAGACATTCCACCATGAATGCATCAAAAAATATAATTTTTCTATGTGTATGTCTATTAAAGGAGAAATAAGAAAGTGAGGTGGAGAATTTTTAGCCATATGGTTTGGGATTTTTAAAAAAAAAATTTATTGTTCTGCACTGGGGACAAGATGGGACAAGTGCTTTTAGACAGAGCCTCCCCAACTCCAGAAGCGAATATGAGCGTGCCTCATAATGGGTCTCTAGTATCAGGGACAGATTTCTATCTAGGAGCCACTCTTGTCCCTGACGAGTTACTGAATCCATGTTAAAGAACTTTCTTTCCCTTTCAAGGTATGGTTTAAGAATCGAAGAGCAAAGTGCCGCCAACAGCAGCAGCAACAACAGAATGGAGGTCAAAATAAAGTGAGACCTGCCAAAAAGAAGACATCTCCAGCTCGGGAAGTGAGTTCAGAGAGTGGAACAAGTGGCCAGTTCACTCCCCCCTCTAGCACCTCAGTCCCTACCATTGCCAGCAGCAGTGCTCCAGTGTCTATCTGGAGCCCAGCTTCCATCTCCCCACTGTCAGATCCCTTGTCCACCTCCTCTTCCTGCATGCAGAGGTCCTATCCCATGACCTATACTCAGGCTTCAGGTTATAGTCAAGGATATGCTGGCTCAACTTCCTACTTTGGGGGCATGGACTGTGGATCTTATTTGACCCCTATGCATCACCAGCTTCCTGGACCAGGGGCCACACTGAGTCCCATGGGTACCAATGCAGTTACCAGCCATCTCAATCAGTCCCCAGCTTCTCTTTCCACCCAGGGATATGGAGCTTCAAGCTTGGGTTTTAACTCAACCACTGATTGCTTGGATTATAAGGACCAAACTGCCTCCTGGAAGCTTAACTTCAATGCTGACTGCTTGGATTATAAAGATCAGACATCCTCATGGAAATTCCAGGTTTTGTGAAGACCTGTAGAACCTCTTTTTGTGGGTGATTTTTAAATATGCTGGGCTGGACATTCCAGTTTTAGCCAGGCATTGGTTAAAAGAGTTAGATGGGATGATGCTCAGACTCCTCTGATGAAAGTTCCAGGAGGCATAGAAGGAAAAATGAAGGGCCTTAAAGGGGCCTACCAACCAGCAACCTGAAATGGACAAACCAATCTGCTTAAGATCCTCTCATAGTTTTAGATCATTGGTTTTCCTGATTTACAAAGTGATCTATCAAATACATTCTAGCCATGTGCAACCAAACACAACCAAAAAATAAAAATCACACAACAAGTTGTGAGGGAAGGGAGGGAAGGTCCTAGCCTTCATAAGCAGAGGTGATCCAATGTTTTAGCCAATCCTTGGTTGAATCTTAGGAATGAACAGTGTCTCAAGCTCATTCACGTTTCATGACCAACTGGTAGTTGGCACTGAAAAACTTTTCAGGGCTGTGTGAATTGTGCGACTGATTGTCCTAGATGCACTACTTTATTTAAAAAATAATGTTCATAAGGAGTCAATATGTAGTTTAAGAGACAATCAGTGTGTGTCTTATATAAATGGTACATCTGTGGTTTTTAATCTGTGCTAGACTTCAAAACTGTGATCTCCTGTTATTGTATGCAACCTTGAACTCCACCTCTCCAGGAGTTCTTCGTGATTAAATAGGTTATAATTATAAGCAAAATTCAGAGCAACTGAGTACTGATTTTAAAAGATTACTTTTGGCTGGAGGTGAGCTGCACTGAAACTTTACGACAAAATGTCTGGACAAGGAGAGTGAGAGAAGAGAAATAAAGGACATTAATTCATCTGTATTTTACTGTTGGTAAGCCTAGCAGTAAAGAGACATTGGTCAATTGCTCTGACCCTGATGAATTTTTAAACTGAGATCATTGTTGTTTATGCTTGCAGATGTTAACTGGAAGTTATATATGCATAAACCTTTTCTTCCTGGATTTGGCAGATATGTATAATTATATTAAAATGGTTCTAGCACAACATTGGGTCTAGTTTAATTTTACACCACTATTTATGAATGAGAATCCTACATTCAGCTTCACCTTCCCAAAATGTTTTTGGTAGAGCAGCAAGGAAATTAGCAATTTTTACTTTTTGTTGTTGAACTAGATATGAATGACAAAATGGTTTGTAAACTATTTGGCTTCCATCCGAATTGCTCTGAAATTGAATTTAGAGAGCCTAACAGTCAATCATTAGGATCTTATTATCCTTGCTCTTCCCTTCCTGCTACAAACCTGAATTATTCCTTGGGCACTTTATTAATAAGTTTTTAAATAGGCCGATTTTTAGGAGAAGAACTGGAATACTTCTCAGAAAATGATAATAACAGGAATTTCTTGTTACTATTCTCTTATTAGGGGGATTTTTTTAAACTTCTAAAAAAAAATCTGAGGTAAACATGAGAGGGAGTGTAATCAGAATCTGAAAGCAATTCAGGCAGAAGTGATTTCTGAACAAAAGAGTTTCAGAAAACTTTTAAAACCTATAATTTCAGTACTTGAACATAAGGCACCCTGGTCAGTTTTTTTTTTTTTTTTTTGGAGGGGGGGAAAGAAAGTGTTAAGGGAAAAAAAGGGTCCCTTTTCAGTTGTACCTGCATTTTGTTCAGTCACCAGAAAAGATAAATGGGTCAATGATCATGGTGCTCCTCAGGTAAAAGCAATATTTAATTTCATTTTAAACTTCTTATGTTCTTAAATTTGACCAAAATTAGTGACTTTTGATTGTAATTTTTTAAATGAAGGTTAGCAGTTGCAACCATTTTGTTTTCTGTCTAGTTCATGTTCCCGTCCTGCCTGCGCATGCTCTCTTGAACTCTACTTTATCCAGCCTAATAGGTAAACTGTTTTCCTGCTAAAGGAAATACAATAATGCAATAGCTTTACAATCAACACTTAACCTTGAAATTTGGCAAGATTTTCCAGTACCTACTGATAGTATTCTTCCTTAAACCAGAAGTAAAATTGGGGCCGAGTGTTTTAAGTTTTTCTCAGATTCAGAGTCTTAATCTCCCAGCTTTTCTCCTGCAATAGTAAAGCAGATCCCAAATAACCAATTTCGCACACTGCTTTGAGTTTTCAGGAAGCCTCACAAAGGGACGGGAAAGATTACCTTTTCTTAAAAAGCAATAATGACGGCAAATGTCGGGCTACTCAGCAAATACACAGTTTCTCAACTGAAACTTAAAACGGGGTTAGAAAGAGGAGGCCTAAGCATCCTCTGAAACTAATTTTTTTTCCATTACCTTTACACAACTTCGTTTGACTGAAACCACGTAGTTAAATCCCGTTGGATGATGGAGAAAGTAGAAATGAATTCCCCTTGAGCAAAGGCAACCGAGGGAGGGAAAGAGGGCGGGGAGCGAGCACTGGCTTAAAGACAGCCGGAGAGTTTGATCACCACTGTGGTCAAGACCGGATTTAATGAAGTTAAGCCTAGTGACGGTGTTCCTGGTACTGAAATGACGCTGTCCTCCAAAAGCTGTCAGGACGCTACTTCAGATGCATATTGGCAATTAACGAAAAGTGAGACGACAATAGAATAAAGGGGCATATAATGGAGGGCAGAGATGAGGGTGGAGGTAGATGGTTTTGGTAAGATCAGTTTTGCCCCAAACCTTTATCTTTCCCACAAAAATTCTTGGCCCTTTGCATTTCACCTTGAGAATATTTCTTCCCTTCCTAGATAAGAGAAATTCAATCAAGTCAATTAAGTTCGGGCTTTGGAACCCCCCTGGTTTTAGATAATGGTCAGTTTTCTCAACTCCCTCTCCCACACGCTTCCCTCTAATCTCACCTTTGCTATTAGTGTCCCCACCTCAGCGCTGTCGCCAAAGGCGGCAGACGTGGAGGCTCGGGGCGGGACTGCGAGTAAACGTGGTGAGAGGTGTGAGTTCAAGGCGGCCCACGGAGGCCGCGGGTGCTGTGCGCCGGACTCACGGCGCTCTTTCTTAAGGCTTACATTTTCCAAATCTTGAATGGCAACTGGAGTCACCTGGGAAAAGCACTCCTATCTCTGTCTCGGGGATCCCAAGCGGGGGTAGCTGAACCAGTCGGCTTTGCAAGCTGGTGCCGTCCCCCTGGGCCGCGTGCACAGCTCTGCGGGACAAGGAAGGGGACTAGGTGGAGCTTTTAATCAGGCCAAGTTGCGCTCTTTCGTGCCTGGCTCCAGTCCTGTTCCGAACCCAGATCCTCTCCGCAACCGCAGCCCGCCCACTAGGCCCAGTGGACTTGGGCTGAGTTCGCGTGCGCAGACCCAGAGCCCTGGGCCTCGGTAGAGCCAGAGGCAGCGCCGCCAGGCCTGCACGCGGGCGGAAGCGCAACCCCTTCATTCCAGCCCACCCGGAGACCTGAAGGCAGGCTTTTGTTGCAGCCGCAGGCCTGGGAGCCTGTCTCTGGGTAGTCTCAAAATCTGGCAGAGTTCTAGGGTCACGTCGGCTTCGGGGGGTTGGGAGTGGCCCCGGCAGGAGGCGAGCTCCCCGCGCCCGAAGGAGCTAAAGCAAAGCCGACTGGCTAGGAGAGAGTTGGCCAGAAGGTGAAAGAGACTGGAGGGGCCCACGGCTGCTAGTTTTCACGACTCCCGGGAGGTTGCGCTGCAGACGTCTGGGAAGGGGACCTGTCTTCCAGTCAGTGAAGGGACAGGCCGCAGCCACAGCCACCGCTGGGCCTCCCGCCGCGCCTGCGGCCTCTCGCGTCCTGGGACAGACGGGACCCAGCTGGTCCTGCCTTGGGTCCCCGGGGACCCTCCCGGGAAAGCCAGGTGCTTTGGCTAGTAGGTCTGGAGGATTCCGGCCCTCTGCTGGGAGCCCGGACACTGAGCTGGGGTTTTCGGGGGGGGGGGGAATTGTTACCCTTGGCTCATCCCTTTTCTCCTACTCCCCTGTATTTCCTTTTCCCTCGAACGTTCTTTCTTTTTATCTTTGGACCCGGCGCAGCCTGAGGCGAGTTCGAGAATGGGGAAGTGACCTTTTTGGCGTCTGGGCAGCGCCAACTTGCAATGTACCTTTTCCAGTTACCTGCAACGCAGAAGCCCCACACAAGCACCCGCCTCTACTTAACCAGAGGCAGCCAGCCAGGGCGCGCACACCACTTGTTTGAACCCGCATCTCATGCCGAGTGCGAACCTGGCTGTTGTTACCCCAACAAAGCTGTAACCCAAAACCATGCTTGCCAGTGTTGGGTGGTGGTTTACTGCGTACAGAGATGGTTTTTTAATCACACAAAAGAGGAGCACAAAGAAGACGGCGCATCCCATGTAAATGAAATCAGACATTTTAGAAAACAATCAAAACGGGAACATGTAAGGTCAGATTCAGCTATGACCTCCAAGTAAGGTACTTTCCTTACCTGGAAACATTTAAGAAGACACCTCTCTCTCACTCCCACTTGAGCCACTAAAGGTTCCAAACCCCCATTGGGCTTCTGTATGCTCAGATCTGCCAGCAGTTCTCTGAGCCACCTCTGTTTTTCTTCCTTAAAGCTCCCTGCACCCTGTTAGAGCAGGTTGCTCTGATTTTCCCAATGCCCCATTTATGCCCTTGGGTTACTGGGATACAAAAGACTGGAGCTCTGGGACTTTTCCTTGGAACAGAGGAGCAAAACCCCCAATGAAACCCACCCTGATGTTTTTCGGTATTGGGCTCTGAAACTGAAGATTACAGGATTTGTCTCGGACAGAATTAACATTACATGTGAAACTGTAGTGCACTGGTATATTGAAACACATTGTATAGGATTGCTTGGAGCATCTCTTCCAAACTGCCTGTTAATAGCAACATGAGACTTTGAATAATGTTCTTTTAAAAATTATTTACTTGTTTAAAATGAAATGTAGCCACTGTTAGTTTTTCTAATGGAAGCAGTTACAAGGAAACTGAACCAAATCAGGAACTGAAGGAAGCTTCTGTATGCAGAAGTGTCTGGAGAGGAGGAGGAAACAAGTATGCATTTGAA